TACCTCTGCTGCGAAACCCAAGGAGGGAGGCTCGGATCCTTGGGGAGGGAGGAGGGGGTGGGTCCCAGAGAGACCCTCTGAGAAGATGAGGCCCAGGACAGGGTGGGGCCAGATCTCGGTGCTTTTTCTGGGGTGGTTCTGACCACGCCGGCACGGTGCAGGGTGGTGGGCCTCCTGGGTGCTGCATGGACATCAGGACAGGGTCAGCAGGGAGGGTGTGGAGGGCAGGAAGGCCAGAGGGAGGGGCTGTGAGGTCTGGGGATGCGGAGGTCTGAGGGAAAGGAGTGTGGGCACGCAGAGGCCAGCTTGCTGGGGTGGCCTGCCTTCCAGCTCCTGGGCTGTGGGAGCATCCGGGGTGGAGACCCTCAAGGGGAGGCCCAGGGAGTGCAGGGAGACCCAGGGGTTTGGGCTGTGCCCCCTCTAAAACCTCCTCTTTGAGGCCCCCCGAGACTGGCCAGGCCTGTGGGATGGACAGGCCAATGGGGACACAGAAGTCTTTCCCCTCGGCCCACAGCGGGAGAGGGAGATGCCAGCTCACCCCAGAGCAGGAAACTAGGAGAAAGAGCCCCTCCCTGGCCCCACAGAGCCAGTCCGTGGAGCTGGAAACGTTTTCACTGGCTGTTGGCGGGCCCTTGCGTGAACAAGGGGCTTCCTCTCCCCTCCGGGGCCTGCTCTGGGTGTGGAGGGCCAGGCCGCCCGTCTCTGTGGCCACCTGCTCCCCAGGGCTCCCAAGCCGTCTGCTTGTCAGCTGGTCTCACGGTGGCACGGCTGGGGAGCCTGGGGCTGGCGGGGCAGCATGAGGGCCATGCCCCCTAGATCCGAGGACTCTGAGACCAGGCTCGGCCAGGAAGAGGGTGGAAGAGTCTGGGGTTACCCAGGTGGCAGGGGCCGGACAGGCAAAGGCCTGCCGGGCACGGGGTGTGTGCTGAGCCCCGGGAGGAGGAGATCTGGACCCGTCAGTGCTGGGTGTCTGCAGCGCCTGCCCACGTGGAGTACCGAACAGACCCGGGCACAGGGAGCTGGGCTGGCACCCGGGGCTGCTGGACGGGGCGGCGTCTCCCCTGGGAGACCTGGAGGTCGCCCTCCAGAAGTCCTGGGAAGAGACCTGTGGGCGGATCCCCTCCCCCTCCTTGCCTGGGGGGTGAGTCGTCAAGCCTTGGCCTCAGAGGCGTCGACTGGGTCCCGGTTTCATGGCCACACAGCTGCCTTCTCTTTCTGATAGGGGTGCCAGTTACATGGCAGTAAGACCACCTCAGCCTCGGCTCAATGTGACTCCGCCTGCGGAGGCCTGAATTCCAAACAAGGTCAGTCTGCAGCTGCTGTTAGGGCTTGGAACAGTCCAGAACAGGAGCCTCGACCCCACCATCCCAGCCAGGCACAGGGGGCAGGTGGAGGCCTGGAGGCCTCAGGGGTGGGGGTGCCCCCAGGAGCAAGCAGCGCTTTGCATCTTGGGGGCGACTGCCCAGGCCACAGGCCCTGTGGGTGCCCAGGGCCGGCCCAGAGAGCTGGAGCTGATGTCAGGGGGCAGCCTCCAGCGGGTGGGGGCAAAGGGGCAGGACCAGGGTCCCCAGGAGGACGGCAGAGGTGGGTGCTCTCCTCCTGAGGGATCCGGAAGGGACCAGAGCCCTCCCTCCTGGCTTGACCTGCCTTCCCTGCCGTCCACGCGCCTCCTGGGGGCTGTGCATGTGCAGCTGCTCCGTGCCTGTCCAGCCCCAACACTGTCCCCTCCACGGCGGGCTCTCAGGCCCCTGGAGATACATCGTGGAGCTCGGGAACAGTCAGCTGTCCTGTATCCCAAGTACCCACAGGAAATAGAACTCGATGACTTCCCGTCTCCCAAGGGCCTCCTGGTTCAGCCCTGGTTTCCCGGAACTGAGAACGTTGGTGGGTGGGGGGCTGCACGTGCTCAGCCTGGGGCAGGGGGTGCCACGGCACGTCCACCATCTAGAGGGGCCACGGGGCAGGGAGACGCCAGCGAGCAGGGAAGATCCACAGGGCAAGTTCGAGGTGAGGCCAGAGAGCTGCAGCTGCCCTGGCTCTGGAAGCCCCCAGTCCCCGCCCCAGGTCCAGGTCCAGGTCCGGCCGTCAGCCCACGTGTCCTCTGAACCCGTTCACCACCACACGGATGGGAGGGTCAGCCCAGGGCAGGCTTTGTTCTGATTTAAAATTTAATGTCTGAGGTTGAAAAACACTACATTTCCATTTTTGTAGGTCAGAAGTGGTTGCAAACGGGATTTTTACACTCTTTCTATGGGGGGGTTTGGGGCATTTGCACTGTGCGTTCCACGGGGCAACTCTGGGGAGGCACGAAGAGCTGGGCAGTGCAGGGCGAGGTGTGGAGGGCCAGCCCTTGGTTCAAATCCTGCTCTCCACTGTCCGTGAGGTCCTCAGCAATTCCAAACTTCAGAGGAGACATCCCAGTAAAATCGGCTGGCAGGGATCTCGACACCCGTGATGGGCAGACCCTGGGCTCGTGTGGGACCCCCGTGGGAGGGGAGGGCCCCATCCTGGTCACACAAGGCCGTCAGTCCCAGATTCAACGTGGCTCACTGGAGCTTGAACTCTTATGCCTGACCTAGGGACGCCTCTGGGGTCCGACCCGTGCCTCCTGGGGTGGGAGGATCACTGTGCACATCACTGAGCACAGAGCACCCCCCACCCCATTCTTTCCTCCTTGAGACCACTGCTTCCTGCAAACAGAAAGAACCCGAACCTGCTCCCAAACCCATGGCCTGAGCCTGACCGTGACCCTAACGATCCAGACTGGATCCCGCCCCAAAGTAGGACAGCAAAGGCCACAGTGGGGACCACACAGATTCTCCAGACACAAAACCCCAGTGGGACTCTGGGGCTCATGGTCACCCCTTGTCCTGGGGCCACTTTATTTTACTTTGGCAAGGACTACAGTGTTCACTTTTCTCAGTCAATGAGGCGGCTTCCCAGGACGCACGAAGGTGGTGAGGCGGGCCGGCTGCTCCGGTTCTCTTGAGGCAGAATTTGGGAAGCCTCCTGAGCACCCAAGGGTTCGATTGCTGGGACTCGGGCAAAGCAGCACCGGCTCTCTGCGGCCACGGGAAGCCTTAAGAGGAAAGTCTCTTCAGAAAGAAACAATGACGTGTAAACCGAAAAGATAAATGCCCAGTTTTAAAGTTCTGCGTTTCTCCAAACACACGCGGGGCTGACAGTACGAGCGGTACAAACGCATTACCCACAAACGCCAAGTTCTGACATAAAAGTCTTTCCTTAAATCATGTAAAAAACACCGAGACCAGCACGCTGCCAACTTAAACTTACTTCGACACAAACTTACAGTAAATAAGTCACAAGTGAACACCGAGTTATATTTACCACGAAGTCACTGGACAGAGACAGAGACCAAAACACCATTAAAGCGAACCGAAGTGAAACCACTCTGTCTTACACGCACACGGGAGAAACGCCACTGACAAGAGACGCAGAAGACGGAGTCCAGCGCGCCGGTCGGGGACGGCACGGGGTCAGCGGCTCAGGGTGCAGCCGGCCGGGCTCAGGCCCGCTGAGGTCCAGGAACGGGGGGCACCTCCCCCGGACACGGCGCGCTGTCCCGGCGACCCCCAGGGGGTCTCCCAATCGCGGGCCGAGACGCACGCAGCGACCACCGGCGTGGCCGCGGGACGGGGGCGCTGGGACCCAGGCGAGGCGCGCCCCCCGGCGCAACGGGGTGAGGCGGGCGCCCAGAGGGCCGGGCGGCGTTGGCGGCTCAGGGGATGCCCTCCCTCCTCTGGCAGCACTGCGAGGGCGGCGCGGACCAGTCGTAGACGTAGGACAGGCGCAGCTGCACCTCGCGCTTGCACAGGCGGCCCTCCCGCGCCAGCGTCGCGTGCTTCTCCAGCATGTCCTCCAGGCTCTGCTTGTGCGTCACCAGGTACTGGTTGCTGCAGCCGCGGGAGCGGTACTCGGTGTCGAAGCGCGGGTCGTGCTCGCGCTGCACGTCCACCGGCGCCAGCCAGGCGCCCACGGACACGTCCTCGCTGTGCCAGGCGCGCAGGTAGTCGCGGCTGAGGCGCAGGTAGCGCACCAGGTCGGCCGAGAGCACGTAGCCGCCGCCCAGCGCGTAGGGCAGGTAGTAGTCGCAGAGCTGCCAGGCGGCCTCGCGCCAGCGGCCCCCGGGCTTGACGCGCCCGCGGCCCGAGAAGAAGCCCCAGTAGAGGCGGCGGCGGCGCGCGGGGTCGCGGGCGCGCAGCTCCGCCAGCAGCGCGTCCAGCCGCGCGAAGGAGTCGTCGTCCGCCTTGAGCACGAACTCGAAGGCCACGTGCTCGTCCAGCCAGGCCAGCATGGCCAGCACCTTGGCCGTGAGGTTGTCGTAGGCGTCGCGCAGCGCGGGCAGCAGCAGCAGGTCCCCGTGCCGCGCCTGCTCGCGCTCCAGGGCGCGCCGCTCCTCGGCGCCCAGGCCGGCGGTGCCCACGGCGAAGCGCGCCCACACGTCGCCCGGGGCCCCGCGCCGCGCCAGCCACGTGCTGCGGACCACGCTGCGGCGCTCGGCGGCGCGGGGCGCGCTGGCCACCAGCACGGCCAGGAAGGCGGCGGCGCGCGCGGGCGCGGGGGGCTGGGGGCCGCGGCCCGGCGCCGCCCGGGGGTCCCCGGGCTCGGACGCGCAGCGCGCCAGGTAGAGCAGCGCCGCCCCGCACAGCACCAGCGCGCCCAGGCCCAGCGCCGCCCGCCGCCGCCACGCGCGCCGCAGCAGCTTCATGGCGCCCGCGCCGGGCCCGCGGCCCAGGCCGGGCGAGCGGATGCGCAGGCGCCGCCGGCTCGGGGCGGTGCGCGTGCGCACGGCGCTCCCGGGAGCGCGCCGGCGCCTTCCGAAGACGCCGAGTCTCGCGGGCGCTCGGAGGCCGGCGACCAATCGGCGGCCGCGGCGGTGCCAGGAGCGGCCGTCACGTGGCCTCGCGCGCCCTTCTCATTGGTCGACCTCGGAGCGGCCCCGCGACCGCTTCCGCCCGAAGGAGAGATGGTGGTGCCGGCGTCGCGGCAGTGAGGTCGCGCCCGTTCGCACCGCCCCCGCCCGCAAGAAAGATGGCAGCGGCCTGAGCCAGGCCCGTTGGCGGCGTCACGGGCGCTTCGCTCCGCTCCTCGGATCCCGGGTGCGGGGAGGCAGGCCGGTGAGTGAGGGGCCCCAGGCGGCCTCTGCAGGCCGCGGGGCCGAGGGTCCCCGCCGGCCGGACGGCGAGGGCGGGTCTGGAGGCCGTCGCCACCTCCCGCCCTGGGCCGGGACACCGTCGGTCCGCTCGGGCTCGAGCCCCAGCGAGACTCCGCCGTCGCCGGGGCTCCTGGGGGCAGGGACGGGCCGACGACGCGGGTCTCCCCGGCCATCGGCACGTCGGGTCTTCTGTTGGCCAGAACCCACGGATGGCGCCGCGAAACGGAGGCCGAGGGGGGTCTGGCTGGACTCGCATTTATCCGCGGGGCGGCCTTGGACGAGCTGCCCGGCTTCCCTGCGTCCCCCGTTAGGCGGGTTTGGAGGGTTGCCGTCGGCGGTGCCCTTGACGTCCGGCTCGGAGGCGGCGTGGGGACCCTGCGGGGCGCTCCGAATCGGTGCGCGCGCTTCGCCGCCAGACGCGGCTTCGTGCCGCGGAGCCGAAGCCGGGGACGGCGAAGTTCCGTGTCTGCCCAAGCCGCTTCCCACGCTCGCTTCGCGAGGGCCTGTTGGTTCCTTGCTGGGGACGGAGGCTCCCGGGGGTGGCGATTCCGCAGGCGAAGCCTGACATCCCTCTCGCGTGGGCGGGACGGGCCGGCTCAGCTGTGCTTCCCGCCTACGCTCGCCACGGGAGGAGGTTCCACGTGATGGACCCCTGACATTTGGAGTTACTTTTGGGTTACTGTCTAAACATTTCCTTATAGGAGACAGGGTCTCATCTTTTTGTTTTTGCTTTTTAGAGAGACGCAGTCTCGGCTGGGCGCGGTGGCTCACGCCTGTAATCCCAGCACTTTGGGAGGTCCAGGCTGGATCGCGAGGTCAGGAGTTCAAGACCAGCCTGCCCACCTGGCCAAGCTGTGAAACCCTGTCTCTACTAAAAATACCAAAAAAAATAAATAAATAAGTAAATAGCCGGGCGTGGTTGCGTGCGCCTGTAATCCCAGCTACTCGGGACGCCGAGGCAGGGGAATTGCTGGAACCCGGGAGCAGGAGCTTGCAGTGAGCTGAGGTCACGCCACTGCACTCCAGCCTGGGTGACAGAGCAAGACTCCGTATCAAAAACAAAAAAAGAAAAAGAAAAAAAGCTACCCAGTCTCACTGTGCTGCCCAGGCTAGTCTCACGGTCCTCCTGCCTCAAGTAAACTTCTGTGTAACTCATCAAGATAATGTAGAATCGAGAGCTGGCTCTGTTCCTCAGGAACAAGGTGCAGTCTCTTTGCACACAGCACGTTTTTCGACTGTAGTTGGTGGAGTCAGCACCAGGAAGAGGTGTCTGGTGAGCTGGGACGACAGGGACAGAATTATGCCACCAGGAGGGAACGAAAAAGCCCTGAGCCGTGTTAAGAAAATCAGGCCGATGGCTGGGCACGGTGGCTCACGCCTGTATTCCCAGCACTTTGGGTGGCCAAGGTGGGAGGATCACCTGAGGTCCGGAGTTCAAGACCAGCCTGACCCAACGTGGAGAAACCCCATCTCTACTACAAAAATTAGC